TAGGAAAAACTTTACAATTCCCAAATTATGTTTGCTAGCTTGCCTCAATTACCTGAAACCTTAAAATCATAAATGATCTCTGCTGGCTTGCCACCGCTTTGGTGTGTCACACCCCCTTTAATCCAATTTTTTTTCGCATTACCATTCAGAGCTTCATTTTTCAGGTCCTTGACTACCAATCGATCTTCTCACCAAGGTTCTTCAACACCCTCGTCGTGCTCCCCAAAAACATTCTTAAATTCTTCGACAAAATCGTCGAGGAGTACAAGGCCAATTGGAAGGAGGTATACCGGGATCAGGTTCAAAACTTTGCAAAGAAATTGAAAAATTCCGATGCTCAGCCGGCCAATGCCACCCTGGTCGAGGAGTTTGAGGATGGCATGAATTCGGATGTGGAGCAGCTGAAACTCGAGCACTTTGTGCATCCTGTGAATGTAAGGATTTACGTTTAAAAAGGCCCTTAAATTGGTATATAACAATCTTTAGATGGTGTAAATGGATTAAAATTTTTATTTTCGTCGAGTTTCTACAATTAAAATTAACTATTTTATATTTTTCAAATAGACTTAAGTCGATTTGCTTTTTAGGTTCTGCGCCAACTAAAAACATTCTAAAATTGTAACAATTCTATTTTTAAGGCTTCGAAACCGTTTTTTAACTTGGGTGATTTCGAATCCTACTAATCATTATTTAACATTTTTCTTTTTTTATCCTACTATATATAAAAAAATAGTGTTTGTGTGTGTGTGTGTGTGTATATTTGCATGCACTTCCGTTAGGATGTTCCGCTCCTACAGCCTCGGGGAAGGGTTTTTTAGATAGGGAAGAAGCGACAATGGGTTTAGAATGGTCCGGAATCGACTGCACACACATAAAAATTTTGAAAAATTGTGGTTTTCGCTATTAAAAATAGGTTTTTGTAAAACCCGCTTTGTTAGGGGCAATTAGCATACGCCGGAAGTGGAAATAGCCTATATATCGGCGAAGAGAGGGCGTTTTCATTTTTTCCGTACCGGAGTTGGGGAGAAGCATGCAAATCAAAAACTTTCACAGGACCCAGTTGCAGAGCGTTCAAAAGACGCGGAGGATTTTCAAAAATTGCCATTTTCGCTGTTAAAATCAGGTTTTTTTGTGAAATTTCTAACCCCCCCCCGCCACTTTGTGGGCTATTTGCATTGCCGTTACTGCGATGGGTGCGTTTGAAAATCTTCGCGAGAGTTAATCCGGTCCGGGGTGATCTGCCAGGTGGCTAAGAAACTTTTGGTGCTTGCCTGTTAAAGGGGATGGGAGGATAAATTTTTCTCCAGCACGATACGGACCATAGGAACATGCCTACGGATATTGTCACACTTTACGTGATTTCTTTCCGAACATAGCACAACGAACATTTGCATTCGGAAGTCGACCGTGATAAACATCTGTATGACGGTATAAAATGAACGAGGGCGATACATCCCTACTAGACCTCCCGAACCCCCCTAAACCCCCTAACTAGGGGGGTTGGGAGGGGGGTTGTAGGGGGTTCGGAGGGGGTTGGGAGGGGGTTTAGGGGGTTGGGAGGGGGGTTGTAGGGGGGTTGGGAGGGGGTTGTAGGGGGTTGGGAGGGGGTTGTAAGGGGGTTCGGAGGGGGTTGGGAGGGGGTTTAGGGGGTTGGGAGGGGGGTTGTAGGGGGTTGGGAGGGGGGGTTGTAGGGGGGTTGGGAGGGGGGTTGTAGGGGGTTGGGAGGGGGTTTAGGGGGGTTGGGAGGGGGTTGTAGGGGGTTGGGAGGGGGTTTTTAGGGGGTTGGGAGGGGGGTTGTAGGGGGTTGGGAGGGGGGTTGTAGGGGGTTGGGAGGGCGGTTGTAGGGGGTTCGGGGGGGGGTTTAGGGTGGTTGGTAGGGGGTTTAGGGGGTTCGGAGGGGGTTTTTAGGGGGTTGGAAGGGCGGTTGTAGGGGGGTTCGGAGGGGGTTTAGGGGGGTTGGGAGGGGGTTTAGGGGGTTCGGAGGGGTTTTTAGGGGGGTTGGGAGGGCGGTTGTAGGGGGGTTCGGAGGGGGTTTTAGGGGGATTGGGAGGGGGTTGTAGGGGGTTCGGAGGGGGTTTTTAGGGGGTTGGGAGGGGGGTTTAGGGGGTTGGGAGGGGGGTTTAAGGGGGTTGGGAGGGGGGTTTATGGGGGTTCGGAGGGGGGTTTAGGGGGGGGGGGGAGGGGTTAGGGAGGTCTACATCCTACTATATATAAAAAATAGTGTTTGTGTGTTTGTGTGTGGACACTTTGCATAAATGGCTCGAAAAAACCGGGTTACCAAGATATCGGGCAGGGGGAAGAATTTTGGGACCGGACGAGACGAGAGGTGTTTAGGGGTGGTCGAGGGCATAGATTACTGCAAGCTTATCAGATTTTTAATAAAATGACGATTTATACCTTATTTTAGCCAATTAAAAACATATGGAAATAAGCTCATTTGCATAAGAGCGTTAGGAAGCTCATTTCGGATTTTGTCACGCTCTCAGTCGGTCGGTTTTGTGATTATTAGGGTTGAGAGGTTGGCGCTAATTCGCTAGAATTATGCAAAGTGCCCAGCTTCGAAAGATCTCCGCGCAAAGGCCAGGGGTGAAAAGCCGCGTAGCGGCTTTTCAACCCTGGTGGTTATCTAAATTTAATGTTTAACAATATTTTAGTTAACCCTCCCCATCACCCTCCTGAAACTCGTCCACCTGGCTCCAAAGTACGAAGTCGGAAACGCCACCGTACTCCTTGACATTTTTCCGGAAAGTGAAGGGGATTTTGGAGAGGTTTGGATGCTTATAAACCTAAAAACCCTGAGTATTACAGTTCAATAAAAACCTGACCGAGCTACTACCAAAATCGGTGCCTTTATGCCAGAAAATAAACGCGGAGCTCGAGCAGCAGGCGCAGAAGGTGTTGAGGGATTTGATGGGGGTTTTGGAGAAGGTGAGATCTCTCTCTATTTCTCTCTCTCTCTCTCTCTCTCTCTCTCTCTCTCTCGCTCTTTCTATCTTTCAATTTAGTCCCGCACCGCCATCAAGGGCCAAGACGCGACGCTTGATTCCGCCTTGAATGCAGCTAATGGCAAGATTACCGAAAATATGGATGAACTGCGCCAGAATTTGACGTGGCATCTCAAGTCTACGGTTCATAGAGAGGTGGGTAAATACCGATATATTTCCGGAAGTAGAGTAATTCTTGAGATTCTCACCCTTCTTGACACAATGTCACCCGGTGAGCGCCGCAGCGTGCGTAAATTCGTTGGTGTCCTAGCACGATTCATGTTAAGGCAACAGTTGAGAAAGGTGAGTTTGAACATTACTAACTATTTAAACGCTTCTAACTAGTTTGTCGTTTGGCTAGATTATTTTAAAGGCGCGGTGACACCTGGATCTAAGACAAGTTTTGCAATCCGGGAGCTTTGGGTTAGCAAAGTTAAATCCGGCTAAATTCTTGCCCGCACATCGGCTTTAAAAATCTTGCCTCCGTTTAAAGGCGTGTTTTAAAGGGACAGTGCCACCCAAAGTCAGCAGTGAAAGCGCCGACAATGGTAATCTATGCCTTGTCAAATCAGCCAAATTCGTTTATAAATACATTAACGTTCGTCTAAAACAAAAAAAAACGTATTAAAACCCTAAATACCGGTAAATTAAAATTGAATTAAACAATTTTGAGTCTAACTCCCAATTTAGGGTGGCTACCGCTTCTGGAGCGCCTTGAAGACGACGACACCAAATATTCAAATTTTGACAAACACGATTAAAGAAGCTTTTTCGAATGTCACGGCAAACGTTCGAGAATCCGCCAAAACTGTAGGTTTTTGGGCCTTTTTGTCGAATATTTTAAATGCATGAACCGTCCAATGACGCCATGAAATTCAGCTCCTTCCCCTCGCCAAGGAAAAGGTGAAAAACGACGAGTTCTGGGCGTCAGTTGGCCGTCTTGCTTCAGTCTTGGACGCAAAAATGGCCGGGTTGACGCAGATGCAGTCGATGAAGGTAAGATTATCAATAAATAGATTAAGAGATAAACTAAATCATAGAAAAATAAATGATTTGTAAAATAAAAATGCTTATTTGTACAATTTTAGGTCCATCTGGCTTATCCGGTCCCAATTCTGCTCCTCATCAACGACATCCCCGACCGGGAGCTCGAATTTTTTAGGTCTCAGAAAGTGGAGGAGGAGAAGGAATAAAGCTTTATGTTTTTTATTGCAACTCCCATTAATGCACAAGCAACAAATGGGGCGCAAAATCTCGGTATTTTGCCTATCAAAAATTTTGCCGTACGTTTTTTTTGATGTCAAGGTATACAGGGTGTCCCAAAAAAAACGAACCATCTGGAATTTCGCCGTCTTCCATCCAATCGGCCCCAAATTTGGACCAGAGGTGTATCAGACCCTAAATAACAACAATCCTGACTTATAGCCCTGTGGCTATAGTAGTTCCCGAGTTATAGCAAAAACAAACTTTATTTTCCATTTTTCATAGGGTTTTCGTGGAATTAGACCCCCTAAACATTAAGTGAAAATCATCCAGTAGGGCTTCTTTACCTTAAGAAATTTTTTCCAGACTAAAATTAATTAAATAAGCTTCGATTTAAGCGATTTTTACAACGCAAAATTAATCAAGATCTTAAGCGAAATTAGGGATTCGCAGCCGGAAGTCGATGCAAATCGATGCAAAGTCCAAAAAGATAGCCAATAAAACTGTTCAGAATTCTGGGAAAGACAGTATTTTCGTTATGACTTTAGAACTACTGTAGCTATGGGGCTATAAGTCCGGATTGTTGTTATTTAGGGTCTGATACACCTCTGGTCCAAATATGGGACCGATTGTATGTAACACGGCAAAATGCCAGATGGTTCGTTTTTTTTGGGACACCCTGTATTTGATTGTCGAAATTCTGGTTGTCGGTATTTTCTACATCGGTCTCTGAACTTTTCGTACTTTCCAGGCATGATAGGTGAGACGTGTCATGAATGAATCTTGAAAATAGAGCCCAAAAACATGTTTTTATTCCGAATCAAGATCAATTCTTGGCAAAAACCCGTTTCTGAACATTTCCTTGGCGCTCCAAGGGTTAGTTCCACCTTCATCTTCACCATAGAATTTCCAAGTCCAGAAAATCCACCCGCCCCGCGCCTTTTTGTAGGCGGCGAGTTGTGCCTAAAACTAGGTTAACTGGCTGGTAACTGGTTAACTTAAACTGGATTGAAATTTGTTAAAAACATGCTTAATCAACCGTTATTGATTGAGGAAAATCGGATACCTTTGCAAACCTTCGCATCTGCTCCTCATTCATGGGAACCGCGGCAGCCAGACTCCACTCGCTGACAAGGAGCCAATTCCCGCCGTCAATATCCCATTTTACAAAATGTTGCGCGACGTCGGTTTGGACGAGTTTTATTATCTAAAAACACCGATTACACAGTCCTTCTCTCTTTCTCTCTCTCCCTATCTCTCTCACGCTCTCTCTCTCTCTCTCTCTCGTCTCTCTCTCCCTCTTTCTATCTCTCTCTCTCTCTCTCTCTCGTCTCTCTCTCCCTCTTTCTATCTCTCTCTCTCTCGCTCTCTCTCTCACCTCGTCGGCATCATAATTCTCATAGCCCCAAATCATGCTCTTGTGCCATTCATGTCGAATCCGCGCCCATTTCGGATAATTCATAAATTTCTCCCAATGCTCGGTGCCGCCGGGCTCTAAAAAGCCATGAGAGAAAGCGAGAGTGAAGAGGGAGAAGGAGAGAGAAAGAGAGTGTGAGAGAGAGCGAGCGGGAGGGAGAAAGAGAGTGCTACGCTGGATCTAACCTTGTTGATTCAACAGTGGAGCAACACCAATCATACACATATCACTATGCTCACGTATTCGAGCGCCAGCCTCCAGATAGTATCTGGTTAATTTATCAGGATCCACTTTGTTCGGTTCGTTTAGCAGCCCGATTCCTGAAAAGATTTGATTCCTTTGATTCCTTAAATTCTTTTATCAAAGGAGCATGACTTAATTGAAACAAATGCTAAACTTCCAGACCCCTTTAATACATATCAACTCACCTAAGAAGCAGATGTCGTCATTATAGCGTAACGCTAGCCAGTTGGCCAGTGCTACGGTGTCGTCGATGTTTTCCTGATGCTTATCCCAATTGGTCTTTACTAGAAGAAATTAGTTTCATGGGGTTAAAAAGTGAGACTGTCTCTCTCACCCTCTCTCTGGCCCTCTCATCCACTCTCTCGCTCTCTCTTCCGCTCTCTCTCCCTTTTTCTCGCTTTCTCTGTCTTTAACCCTCTCTCACTCTCGTTCTCTCTTTCTTGCTCTTTCTCCCTCCCTCACTCTCTCTCTCTCTCGCTCTTGCTATCCCTCTCTCTCTCACACACATACACTCCCTTTTTCTTTCGACTTACAAAATTCTTGCGGAGAGCTGCTATCCCATCCATTTTGACTTCCCCTAGCTGCGTGAATTGAGATGAGCACGAAAAGTTTATGCTTGGGGCCCCATTCTCTAATCGCACGATCCAGATAGGTGATTCCACCTGGCGCCCAAGTTCTATCCTCTGTAATTAGTATACACCATTTTCATCAAGAAAATTGTCTTTTTACCTCCATCACCTGCTTCTCGTATCCAGTAGCCAATCGGAATTCTAACGGTGTTCAGACCGTATGCGGAAATTTGAGCAAAATCAGTTTCAGTGATGAAGGTGCGGCGGTGGGCGTCGAATTGAGCGTCACCTGTCAAAGCATGCAACTGGATGCCTCAATAACTATTGTCATTAAAGTTTGAAAGTTGCGTCGTTAGTATCTATGCGTCTTCTAGAACTGCGCGGGGCAAAAGTCTGCAAAGTACAGGGTGTCCCAAAAAAATTCCCCCCCCCCTAGTCGGCCGCAGACCTGTTCGATTTTTACGATTTAGGTATCTATCGAAAGCTCTCCGAAAGGCGAGTCCAGCACATCTCTCCGATTCTTAAAATTTTGAAATTTTTTTATAGTTTACTAATGTTTTTTGCGAAACGCGCGGATTTTCTGATGTTTTTCTGACCAAAGCGTTTTTTACAAAAATCGCAATTTAAGAATTTTTTTGCCTTTCCTGGCAGCCCAACGACAGCGCTTTGAAAGCCGTTTGCGAAAACACAGCTTGGATAGAGCTTAAACCCTTTAAATTGCGTTTTGGATAAAAAGCGTGCCCTTTTTGCCGGAAAATGCCGAAAACCGAGCAAAAAATTCCGGCATTTCGAAAATCAGTAAGACGTGCTGGACTCGGCTTTCCGAGAGCTTTCGATAGATACCTAAATCGTAAAAATCGGACAGGTCTGCGGCCGGCTAGGGGGAGGGGGGCTTTTTTTGGGACACCCTGTATAGTCAACTACGGAGAATTAGCCTTGAGCTGCGAACTGTGGCTTAAAAAGGTTCAAAATCGACATTTTTCTGGTTTCAGAGGCTTAAGTTGAAGAACATATGCTTACCTTTTTCATGCCCCAAATACTTCATCGCTTGGTACTCGCCCTGCTCGGCTCTGTTTTCTGGGACGCCGCGCCATGCTGGTGATTCTGAAACGTAGTTTAACATTCTGATTTTCATTTTATTTTCATTTTTATCTGGCTCTCTTTTCCGCTCTCGCTCTCTCGCTCCCTCGATCTCTCGCGCTTTCTCTCTCTCTCTCTCTCTCTCTCTCTCTCTCTCTCTCTCTCTCTTTCTCTCTCTCGCCCTCTTTCTCGCACTAGCTCTCTCTCCTAACCTACCTTTTGTCATCCAGTACTCAGCTAGCAACCAGCCACCCAAATTGACGCCCCGAATCGGCTTATGGCCATGGATGTTGATTTGATCCTTTAGCCGCTGGAATTCGTCCATTTTTGTATCTAAAAATCCGTTAAGATAGCAACCCTAAAAAAGCGCTGAGCACATCAGAGAAAGGAAAATCATCAGTTTCAAGTACGAAATCGGACTGATTGGCTTGCCAAAATGAACTGAAAGGCTCCACCGCAAAAAATGACGCAAGGAAAATCACGAAAAAATTGATGATGGTGCTGGAAAGCGCAGAACAGTTCTCTTTCGGGATACAGCGTTATTTGCACTACTTTCCTTCCCGACTTCCCTTTCGTCAACATCTTAAAAACATCGCGCGCTGCTCTTGTTAATCGGCAAGGAAATTGCGCTCAAAAGGTTGCTATTTTCTTGCGCTTAAAAGTTTGCGACTTTCGGCTTTTTCACAAATTACGGTTGTTCAAGGCCGCGGCTCTAGGTTTCAAGGAATTCAAATTCTAGCTTCGACATGGAAAAGCTTGTGCATGAGCCTGGCTGTACTTGTATCTGTGGGACGAAGAAGGTAAGGAATCTTACCGCTCAACTGTATCGTTAGCATCATTTTCAAATAGCCCAGTTACATAGGTCATCAAACTAGATGAAATTAAACATCTGGTTAAATTAAAATATTATGAATTTGCTAAAACACTGAAAATCTTAGATTACCAGCACGAGCTCAAGTCAGCTCCCCGATGCTGGATATTGCTGCGGCCGTGGTAGCGGACCAGTAAGTGCTTGGGAGCATATGAGGGGCTGGAGAGCGAATGAGAGTTAGAGAGGGAGAGAGAGAGAGCGAGAGAGAGAGAGAGAGAGAGAGAGAGAGAAAGCAAGAGGGACAGAGAGTGATCGTGAGATAGCGAGAGAGACAGAGAGAGTGAGGGTAAGAGAGAGCGGGATAGAGAAAGGGAACTAACACCGCTGTTTCAGAACGTTCGCCCAGCATCAACTCTGAGCCTCGAGCCCGACATCGCCGTTTCTAACAAAGTCACTTGTCAGCCAAGCCACTCGCTAAAGGTAAGGATTTAGAGACGTAGTATGTTCTTATCAGCTACTTTAACAAGCCCTCAAAATTACTTACTTTAGCCCCTATCCCCACTATCGAACGAAAAAAGGCAACAGCGAATCGGAAAACTCCTCGATGACAAGGATAAGCTACTAAATGGTGGCGTTCCGATCCGAGCCGTCGATTTGGCCGGTTGGTTGGTGGCTGAGTATGATATTACTAGAGGTAAGAGTTTCGACGCCTTGTGGTTACCGAAAACCCTGAAAATTCGTGAAAAAAACGCTAAAATTTAGGATCTCCTGCTTGGGAAGGCGTCCCGGAAGATGTGGCCAATAAGGGAGAGTACATTACGATGAAGTATCTGGGACATGAGAAAGGTAAATGTTTAAAAGAGTAGAAAGTATATCTAATAGGGCCGAAAGACGATTAAAAAGGTCCAGCCGTTTTAGGAGATCGACAATTCAACGAGCATCGCAGTCGCTTCATTACAGATGCCGATTTTGACGAAATTGCTCGGAATAATTTCAACACGGTCCGGATTCCGATTGGCTACTGGTTGCGTGGGGCTGATGGATTTTCGGGAGGTAAGAGAATATTGCATTAGAGGGAGAGTGACAGGAAGCAGGAGGCGCTACGTAACGCGCTTTTTAAAGGCCTGTCGCAACGCGATGCGCGACGCGATACGCAAGGCGCAACGCAACACGGTACGCAAAGTGACCCACGATGCATGCAGCGGGGGACGCAGCGCGATACGTATTGTAACACTCCGCTACACGCAGCGCAATACGCGACACGTTACGCCTTGCACAACATGGCCAGGGCCTGAGTCCCCGTATCTCAGAGAAGGAAGCGCATTTGCATTTAGATGAACTGGAGGGCATGCGGATGTGGGCCCCGGGGTCCCTGGACTATCTGGATACCGCGATTCGCGACTGGGCCTTGAATAACAACCTGTTCGTGCTGATCTCCTTCCAAGCTGGGATGGGGAGCCAGAATGGAAGGGCTTCTAGCTCGCCGCACGAGTTCGGTATGGATTTTGTCTTAAAGTTTGATAATACGCAGCAATAATCACCCAAAGATTCATACCGGCAATTTTCAGGTCAAGCCGATTGGGGTCAATTCGGGCACAACATCGCAAATTCCCATGCCTTCGCCGAATGGCTGGCTGATCGCTACAAGAAGGACCCTGCTTTTTTGGGTATTTTCAGGATATTATGGCACAAATCTACTGAATTATAGGCCTCCGGTATGCAAATTTGAAAATTTCAGGTATCTCGCTACTCGACGAGCCCGAAAATGTCGATACCCAAACTTTAAAGCAATATTACTACGATTGCAATGGGAGGATTAGGCATAACGTAGGGTCGGACTGCTTGCTGACGATCTCGCCTTTGGTAGATCAACAATGTAGGTCACGAGAGAAAGAGAGAGAAAGAGAGAGAGAGGGGAGAGAGAGCGAGAGTACGAGAGAGAGAAAGAGAGCCAAAGAGAAAACGAGAGAGCAAGAGCGATAGAGAGGGAGAGCGAGAGAACGAGAGAGAGAGAGAGAGAGCGAGAGAGAGAGTCAGGGAGACCAGGCGGTAAAGAGAGAAACACCAAAAATTTGTACATTTAGTAAGCCCAACGGCTGGCAACTGGATGGAAATGATGCCCGAGCCCGGATGGCATAATATTGCCTTCGAATGGCATGTTGACTACGCCCGGAAACGAGGAACTCCTACCTTCCAACACGTTTGAATTTGATGTTATGGTATTTATTAAGTACATAGGTGATAAATGATGTCCAAATGAACCTTATGCAAGCCATTCGAGGTAGGGAGGGCCGAGATCTGTTCATCGGGAAATGGTCCTTGGCTGCAGGGTTTAAGCTGACGGATGAGGAGACGCGACATTTTGCGATGGTTGGTTGAGAGAGAGAGAGAGAGAGAGAGAGAGAGCGAGAGCGAGAGAGAGGTAAAGCGGAAGCGAGAAAGAGATGAGAGCGAGAGAGAGCAAGCGAGAAACAGAGGGAGAGAGCAAGAGAGAGTGAGAAAGAGAGAGAGAAAGAACGAGAGAGAGAGAGAGAGAGAGAGAGAGAGAGAGAGAGAGAGAGAGAGCGAAAGACTAGCGAGGGTTTTTTGAGTGTGAGGCTCCGGGCAAGCTAGCAAAGAACAGGAGAATTTTGATGAGATTCATCCCTCCATGTTCCAGGCTCAACTCGAAGCCTACAAGTCGGCCCGAGTCGGATGGTGTTTCTCCACCTGGAAATGCTACAATGACGACGCGCAGCCAAAAAACCCGCGCAGCGCCCGGCAGCTGCTCAAAAATGGCATTCTGCCAAAGATCGAGAGCGTTGGGCTGTAAACTACAAGTTTTATGACCCGAGTTTTGTATTCTTAATGTCACTTTTCTCTTAAAAATATGTATAAAGTCAATTTAAACCCATCTTTGCTATTTAATAATAAATAATTCGGCTAAAATTACAAAACAAGCGCTTAAGGAAAATTTCTCGCAAAAGAGAGCAAAAATCAGACCCTATCGATCTTGAGTATCGCTCTCAAAAAAAAACTGGGAAAGCAGGAAAAAACGGCAAAAGACAAATTGATGATGATAGGAAGGGGGAAAAGGCAAAACGCCAAAAAGTTCCGTTTCTGAGCCTAACTTCCCCCTCCATGAGCTTCATATTTGCACTCGTTTTTTGCCGTTCGCCACTTTCTGCAAACATCTCGAAAATGAGAAAAGTTTTCGAAGAGAGCGATTTTTCTTGAACTTAGATTGCGCTAAATTGCAAAATTTCCTTAAGGTCCCGAACTTTTGTTCAATGAATTGTTAAATTCTCTTCAATGGAGGCGGCGGATGTTTGCCGTGACAGTAACGTGAGTTTATTAGTTTATTTGATGACTTTCCGTATTCAATTAGCCTATCTTTTCAGTCGATTTCAACAAAGCAAAAACTCCGAAAATTCCTCGATGCCAAGGATGAAATGCTAACTGGCGCAGTGCCAATCCGGGCTGTAAATTTGGCTGGTTGGCTGGTGGCGGAATATGATATTACTAAAGGTATGGAAAATCGTTTTACAGAGTACAAAAACGTACTCGTCACAGAATCCAGAAGCCGATAAGAAGCTAATGAATTTAGGGTCGCCAGCTTGGGAAAGAGTGCCAGAAAATGTCGCTATCCAAGGAGAATACATTACCATGAAATATTTGGGACATGAGAAAGGTATACTATTGGAAAAAAAGAGGTTTATAGTCGTTTATAGGCGACAGGCAATTCAAGGAGCATCGAGATCGCTTTATTACTGAATCCGATTTCGGTGAAATTGCCGGTTATGGCTTCAACACCGTCCGGATTCCGATCGGCTACTGGTTACGTGGGACTGATGGGTTTTCTGGAGGTGCGTAGGGTAGTGACAGGAAACACGCGACGGGTTTCGCGGTACTAAAGTCAGAGCAATACGATGCAACGCGATACGATACGCACGGCACGGCAGAACCCGACACGTCACACATCGCGATACAAAGGCCGAGTCGCGCAGCAATACGCAACGCAACGTGCAAAGCAATGGGCAACGCAATACGCAGCGCAACACGCAACGCACGCAACACATTCGCGGCAGGTGACCAGCATCCTAAAAGCTTTCTCTCAGACGCGGCGGACCCGTGCACACACTGTGAGAGAATCGGTGATCCCAGCCCGGCATTATTGGGTGCAGAAATTTGGGCAGAGCCCCTGCGATGGCACGGCGTCTTTAGATGCAAAGAGGGTCAAGCAGGTTGCGAAATTTTCATGTTTCGGGGCCAATAACACCTTGTTTTTCTGACGGCACGTCGTCGCCAGGCATACCAAACATGATCCTAGGTACTAATCAGGATCCCACAGCAATACAAACGACTTCTGGAACCGCAGAATAAATGATAATTTTAGACTTTATATCAGTTTTCAGACGAGCTAGACGTCGTCAAAACTTGGGCACCAGATTCTGTGGATTATCTGGATCGTGCTATTCGAGATTGGGCCTACAAAAATAACCTCTTCGTGATGATAGCCATCCAGGCAGCGATGGGAAGTCAAAACGGGAAAGCATCAAGCTCACCACAGAAATTAGGTAGAAATTTTATGTCAATATTATCCCATCTACTATCTTAATTCAACTTTTCAATCACAGAAAAGCGCTGAAGAATACAGCACTTTTTCAGGCCACAATGGCTGGTGCGAAAAGCCCACCAATGTCCAAAATACGCACGCTTTTGCCGAGTGGTTGGCTCGGCGCTACCGGGAAGATGCGGCTTTTCTAGGTAATATGGGTATTCTTAGGTATTATGCGGCGTCGTTTTGAGCGAGAAATAAACTAAAAAATACGCTAAATTACAGGCATCTCACTACTCGATGAGCCTGAAAATGCGGAAACCCAGCCTTTAAAGCAATATTACTACGATTGCAATGGAAGGGTTAGGGATAACGCCGAGTCGGACTGCTTGCTGTCGATCTCGCCTTTGGTAGATCAACAATGTAAGCTTGGGAGCTAGAGAGATAGAAAAAAGCGAGAGCTAGTGAGAGAGAGAGCTAGTGAGAGAGAGAGCGAGAGAGAGACCGAGAGAAAGTGAGCGAGAGAACGTGACAGAAAGAGAGAGTGAGATAGCGAGAGCGAAAGAGTGGGACAGAGCGAGAGTGAGAGAGAGAGCGAGAGTGAGAGCGAGCGAGAGATAGAGCGAGAAAGGGCGAAAGCGAGGGATAATACCGAAAAATTGACGATCTAGTAAGTCTAACCTCCGGCGACTGGTCAACCTTAATGCCGTGGCCCAGTTGGTATAATATTCGACATGAATGGCATGTTGATTACGCGGCAAAACCGGATATGATGAGCTTTCAACAGGTTTGAACAGCCTCTAACTTACAGTATTCTTAAGAATTTTAGGTGGTGGAAGACGTCAAAACAAAAGTTGCCGAAGCCATTGCGAATTGGGAGGGCCGGGACTTGTTCATAGGGAAATGGTCATTAGACAGCGGATTCCAGATGACGGAAATCGAGAGGATAGAATTTGCAATGGTTGGTTGAGATAGAGAGAGAATGAGAGAGAGAGAGAGCAAGAGAAGAAGAGAGAGAGAGAGAGAGCGAGAGAGCGTGAGAGAGAGAGAGCGAGAGAGCGTGAGAGATAGAGTGAGATCGGGGGAGGGAAAGCAAGTGAGACTTATTCCGGCTTGCTAGGCTCAACTCGAAGCCTATAAGTCGGCTCGAGGCGGATGGTGCTTCTCTGCCTGGAAATTCTACAATGATGACGCTCACCCGAAAAACCCGCGAAGCGCCCGGAAGCTGCTCAGAACTGGCATATTGCCAAGGATTGAGGGCGTTGCGCTATAAACTACAAAAAATCAAGTACAAATAAATGTGATAATAATAAACTAAAATTGCCGCAAAAAAGGGATCGAAAATTCTACAGGCACAAAGGGGAATAAGCTGATGCTCACGGATTTACGGAGTTGAGATTAATTCGGTAAAAAACAAGGAATTCAAAGAAATCAGGATAGGATAGTCCGTGCAAGATTATCTGCTCCTTTTCTCGTGATCAATTAGTGACGGCCGATCGGAGAATCGGCGCTTTTCCGGCCGGTTAATGCAAGAGAAATGAAATTTATATAACTAGCCACGGCGGAGCGCTCAAATTTTGCAGACTCTTGATCATTTCTAATTATTTTTAATCGTCTCTAATCCTGAAAAAAAAATGAATTTATCGGGCAGCTCCAGCTCCCTAGAATCTTACATCTTTTCTGAAGAACCTGCCGCCTATCAGGATATTTCCCGGGCTGTGATCGCGCAAACCGGAAGCGATGAGTATTTTGAGGACTGTTGCTCTCCGATTTGCCATTTGCTACAATCGCTATTAGTCTGTATTTGCATGCCGTTGACGATGTGCTGCTATTGCTGTAATTTGACAAAACCACATCCTGTCGATTTTCTGGATGCTGAACCGAAGGAAGAAATTGTATAAAAAGCTATAAAGGATTGTTTTGCATTTGGTTCAGGGTTTCATGTATAATAAAAGCTTTATTGCTTTTGAACCAAGCTCCTTTATGCAATCAATTCGTCATTTGGTTTAATAACGTACGTACTATAAAAAAGTGAGTGGGTGAAATGTGAGGATTCGCAGGGGGGATCGAATTTCTCCTATGGCTTCACCATTGGCCTGTTCGTCAAAGATAAAATGTTTTTTTATTACATTTAAGCTATTTAATAATAAAAATACCCTATTTGAAGCAGAAAAACTTTAAAACATTAGAACAGGTTTTATAATGGAAATTTTTGGTCAATTTGGGTCGAAGCTCAATCACAGCAACCTAAAATTGGCATCTAAAGTAAAAATTTGTAAAAATTCTATACTAACATCCCTTCTCTATTTTTGCTGCTCTTAAAAAAATTTTTTTCAAGGTCCTTCTTAATGGAAAACCCCCCTATTTGATCCGGTCGTTCGGGGCTTTTCATAGGGGAAGCCGTGAAGCCGCAGGGGCCCGATGGAAGAGCGCCGCCGGCCATTTTTTGCGGCGTTTTTTGGCGCAGTGTCCTCCCCGGGGCAGCCGAGAGGAAAAGGAACGCCCGTTCGCAACATTTCAGGGCGCTATCGATTCGGCTGGGGTCGGCTTTAGAGACCCTCCGGCCCATAGTACATTTCAAAACCGATTACGTTGTAGTTTACCTTACAAAATAATCGTTCCATATTTTTCATACACATTCAATGTGAATGTTTAGATTAACTAGCGATCATGTTGCGCTTATCTAGAATAAAAGGTTTTTTGCCAGCGAGGGGGAGGGGTATCATTTACAAGGCACAGTGACACCGGCCGAAAATTATGGTTTTCTGGAAGAAATCTGACTTGTTCGGTCCAAACGCATAGGATTTGTAATGCATTTTTTTCAATCGTTGAAGTTTTCGCAACCGGGAGCCGTTTTCTGAGCCTTAACTATAGAAAAACATAAATATTAATTTTGGATACACCTCTCTCTATTTTATTCATTTCCGGAGACTTCCGGAAAATGCAGTGAAAGCCGCTGGTCAAAGCTGGAAACTTTTTCAGCACTGAAGGGGCTCCACCTGGGCAATTTTTCCAAAATACGCGACTCCATCTGTAGTCGCCGCTCCATTAGCGAGATGATCCTGTTGTTATAAATATGGATTCAAAAGGCCCTGCCTTGCCGACAGTACGTGTAAGCTTCTTATTGATTGATTTGACGAGATTAAAATTAAAATTAAAATCGTATCTCAGCTTTAGGGCTTCGAAAATCATCTAAAAGTGAATTATGTTCTTGTCGCAGGTTGATAGACGTGGGCTGTAAGAAAATATGTAAGTCTCGCGAAATGACCAGAAAATATATGTTGGTTTTGGGATGATACTGAATCTCCGGACAATATAACTTCTGGCAAAATGCGGTTCGTAAGCCGTTTTACAGGATTTTCGATATTTTTCGACATATTGTTAACGCGATTGGACCGAGCATCAAAAAATAAATCGAGAGTGTTTTGTAAAGCTCAAAATAATGTGATTTAGGATAAAAGACGCACTTGACAAAAAAAAATTTTTTCCGCCCTAAGCTTCTCCCAGAAAAAACCAGAACCAAATTAACTTAAATTTCCAAATGACGATGCACATGACAAAAAAAAATATTATTTTTAGTACGCGTCATACTTTGCGAATGATCGATTCATCTGGAAACTGGTCTGGCGATGGTTTGAAGTGATGTCTTTAACGAACAAATCAAGTGCGTCATTTTTCAGAGAAATTTTAACTAGTAAAATTGCGATTTAGCGCGCACACCATTGTTTAAAAAAAATTCGGCAAGGATTCGACGGGAAGAAGGCACTTACGCTAAACGAATTATTCGCCAGCGTGCAATGATTTTGGAATTAGTAAATTTATTGTTTGCAGAAAATCTACCATTTATTTTATGTATTCATCAAATGAATGGTTGCTGTTAAATTAACGTCAATACAAGCCAAATTTTAGACTGGCGGTAAGCCCCTAAGTAAGGAAATCTCGACATTCCTACAAAACCTGCATATGGATCGTCTGCAACGTAGTGCTGAAGTGCAACTGTAAGGTGAGTGTTTACAGAAAAATTACAACGAAATTTGGGCTTTCGCCTCTGCTGGAAGCTCAGGTTTTGATTATACAGGGTGTCCCAGAAAAAAGCACCCCTCCGGCATTTCGCCGTATTACATCCGGTCCATCCCATACCTTGCACAAGGGTGTTTCGGATCCTAAATAACCGCAATCCTGAGTTATAGCCTGCCAGCTACAGTATTTTTGGAGTTATCGCCAAAATACTCTTTGTTTACGCGATTCTAAACAGTTTTTTCGGCTATCTTTTTGGACTTTGCATCGATTTGCATCGACTTCCGGCTGCGAATCCCTAATTTCGCTTATCATCGGGGGTGACTTTAGGTTATAAAAATCGTTGAAATCAACGGCTATTTAATTAATTTCTATCAGGAAAAGATTTCTATGGGTAAAGAAGGTTTGCCGCTTGATTTTCATTTAATATTCGAAGGGTCGATTCCGACGAAAACCATATGAAAAACGGACAATAAAGTTTATTTTTGTTGTATCTCAAAATTACTGTAGCTGGCGGGCTATAACTCAGGATTGTGGTTATTTAGGGTCTGAAACACCTCTGGTCCAAATTTCGGACAGATCGGATGTAATACGGCAAAATGCCGGAAGGTGCTTTTCTATGGGACACCCTGTATAAACGTTTAGTTTCGAGATGATTTTCTTGTCGCAATTAATTATTTTTTGAGGCGTCGGTGGTTGCGGCAACCGTGTTCGACCGCGCGACCGAACAATTCTGTCTGGCACAAAAGATCATACCACGGTGTGACTGCCTCGCACTGGCACAAGATTTTGGCCGACTATTCGAAGCGGTAAACGGCGGCCTGCCAAAGGCCTTAGCCGCGGACGCCGAGAGCGAGGCGCAGAGACGAGCTCTTTGCTACGGAGCAAGCCTATGTTATGAGCCGTGAGTTTTCTAATCAGACTTAATATAAAAGATAGAGTTTGCGTCAAATAGGGGAAGGTTTTTAACCTTCCCTATTTGACGCAACCCTTTAACAACATTAGATGCGCAATGACTCCGAGATCAGTGCACACTAAGCGTTTTTCGTTATTTTTCGGAGCAATTCAGGCGATTTATGCAATTTGACGAATTTCATGAGCTCAGCCGGGGCTGAAAGTCGCGTAGCGGCCTTTCGAGCCTCAGGTCAGGTTGTTAAAATAATTAGCGGTTCGCGTTCGAGCATAATAATTAAGCTAAAAATTTTCACTACACTTTGTAAAACCCTTGGATTTTGCTTATTTTGCCTATGAGCAGCTTTTCAGGCATCCACGCCAGCGCATGCAATGCAAACACTGCTACTTGCTCTACAAATGGTTTAATGAAGTGGGTCCGGTTACCTAAATGATGGATAACAAACCCCGCAGCAGGGGCAGGAGAACCCGGGTCGAAACGAAAAATGTTCGAACACTTTTTTTTCGACCCGGGTCGATAACAAATCTAGTATCAGTTGGGAGCACACGGGCCGATGTTTCTGAATTTTTGTGTTAATTTTAATATCATTTTATTTGAAATTTTCATGTTAGAAATCTCGATTATTCGCTGAAAGGGCGCATTCAGGGCCTTTTTTTTGGAAAAAGCAAAGATTTTCGCCGCGGCAGGGGGTCGAACCCGGGCCCCCCGCTTGGGAGGCGCGGATGGATACCACTCAACCACAGCTACAACCTAGCGAAGGGGTGAGGGGCGCCCCACAACGCAAAGGAGAGAAATTGCGGTTCTTTAGGATTCCCGGGGGGGGGGGACCAATTTTTTTCCTGGTGGTCCCGGTTGACCTAGTAATCAAATATAAAGTTTTTTCGAATTGTTTGTAATAAGTTTTAACTATATTTAAAGCAGAATAACTTTCAGAAAATTTTAGAAAAATGTTTGAAAAAGTCGAAAATTTGGTCATTTTGGGAAGCCCCCCCCGCGCATCCTAAAGGTTCTATAGGATTGTTTGACCTAATTTTGATTTTTTTTGTTAAAATGTGTGTAGTTTTTATGCTCAGGAATAGTTAAAAACAATTTAGAAACGCATCCCCAATTTATAAAAAAAATCTAGGCTTGTGCCGAAAAAAATTCTACGGGGTGTCCCAAAACCCCCCGGCATTTGGCCGTTGTCATCGAATCGGGACCAAATTTTTACCAGTAATGGGGACCCATAAAAGCTATGTGCAGCCGAATTTTCTAAGCAAAATATTGTAAAACAAAGAAGATAAAAATTAAGGTTTATTTTGCCGATTTCACTAGGATTTTGACGGATTTCGGCCTCGAAATGTTTAGCAAAAATGAAGAGAGCACCTGTAGAAATTTTTTGATTTACGAAAATTACGTTTAAATTGGGCCGTTTGGTCACTTTTTATTAACGAAATTGCCCGAAACTGACCGAGAAATGACCATTTTTTGGAAAATTACTCAAAATCCGCATGCGAATTGCGAAAACATAGCCAAAAACGAGTACCAGCGTTCTCCAAAAATCAGTTTTTTTATAGAAAATTTGGATGCACATAGTTTTTATGGGTCCCCATCACTGGTAAAAATTTGGCCCCGATCCGATAGAAGACGGCCAAATGCCGAGGGGGGTTTTTTGGGACACCGTGTATACTAGATACTAGATTTTCTAAAAGAGTTCAGCGGAGGAAGCTTCCGAACTCCGTCAGATCAACAAGTAACAATCAAAGGTGGCTGGGGTTTCGCAACTCGGAGAAAATACACCTACTTGTCTTTTCGAGGGCTTACAATAAATACTTACCTTGTAAAAATTGGGCGCTCCTACGGACCACTTGCGGGGTTTCGCAAAAAAAGCCTTGGAACTTCCAGGTCGGAGATGCCCTGTCCGATGCGGTCAGCCGACTATCAACGACCTTTTGGGCGAAAGATATGACGGTTGGGCCAGGAAAGAATTCCAGATGGCAATGCGTGACATCAATCAGGGTCCAAAAACCCTGACGAACAATGTACGTAAATTTGACAAAGTCAATACCAAACTTTTAAAACTTTATGGCTTGGTTTATTTATACTTGGTTCTTGTGTGAGGGTTAAGTTTGCACCATGGGAGCCATCAAACCTTAACGGGGCTCCGAAATCTGGTTCACGCCCCCCACGTTGATTCCTGGTAAAACAGCCAGATGCCGCCGTAACGCGACCGCGTCGCATGTTCTCGAATCCTTGTTTGGAGGGAAAAACGCGTGAATTTCCAAATTCTGGCGCTATTTCTGGACTCCGCACGAAATTTGGATGATTCTAGTCGTTTTAATTATTAAAATTGGTTAGAGATCTCCAAGGTCGAGATATTGGGTACCTTACAAGACATTACGGCATGTAAACGCCGCCCACTCAAAAAGCCGTTTTCGCCCCCGAAAAGTTTTCGGTTTTTCTCAAATATTTTTCGATTTTTCGCGCCGAAATCACTTTTCAGGTACGTTTTGGCAATAACCTTTTCGTTTTTGACCAGCAGGTTGAATCCCCGCACACGCGAATTTGGCTTCCGAGCCCCTTTAAAAGTCGTATAATTTTTTAGCCATGTGCCGCAGTTTGCATTTTTTAGAGGAGTGGCGACTTTTCTGACTAGTGACTTTTCCGAATAATTACTTTTCGAAGTAGCGAACGTACGCCCAAATCTGGCAGCAAAAAACACGGAAATGTACCGCAGATATCGAAACTTTTAGGACCTTTCAACTTAATTAAACCTAGATAACGGAAAGTTAGGCATAAAAAACAGAAGGTATAAAAATTATATATAGGTTAGGTATATATAATTTTATATAATGGTATATAATTATATATAGGTTAGGAATAAAAAAACAGGTGTTTTTTCGACGGTCGGCGGTTTTTCGGATGCGCCGGATGCGCGCCTGGTCGCCAGAATTCATTTATGCGCATTTTTTTCAGGAGCTCGACGAATTCGCAGTATGCAACCTGCTTCACGCCGGCGAGGTTTCCTATCTAATACGATATATGGAAATAATACGCTATGTTTGAAAACTACTATAAACGCTCACTGAAGTCTCTGCGGAATATGTTGTTACTCCTTGATACAGTTTCTTTCAATCGAAGATTTATTAGAGATTCGGCATTATCAAATTCCTATCTATAAAAATCACCTTTTTTATGAGGCGAATATTTTTGTTACTTAACAAAGTTTCAACACAGGAAAATTTTACTAACAAATTTACTTTATTATATGGGCAACGTGAAAAGGGAAATGATGAAATTAGGCATTATGACGTCCGTGCTCCCGGCAATTTCCAAGTAATCCTGAAAAAAATGTATATAACGTTTCATCAAAACAGACCAACTGTGAGCGCATCTTGTAGATTTCCATAAAATTATGAAATTCGGTTATGTCGATAAAGTCGAAAGCTCCATTTTCTGCGAAGTTGTGACAAGCTTACAAGCCTAAACCCAAATTGCAATGCTATCAATTTTTCTCACGATTCAGCTTCTCGATTGTGCCGTTTTGCATAAAGTCAAACGCTCCATCCTCCGTGGCGTAATAACCGCCTGTGGTGTTCGAGAACCAAACAATTTGCCGAGGAGACATCTTTTTAACCGCTACGTACATACGAGAGTTACCTGCTACCGCCCCAGAAACTCTGGTGAACTCCATCAGAAATATATTACTCCCAAGCCATTTATTGGACCCCGGCTGGCACTCCTCTTATCAAATAGGTAACACGCGTTGGTAAAGAAACACCTTTATTTAACAGGTCGCATAAATATTTGTTAATGTTTTCGAAAAATGCACGGGAAGCAGCCGCGTAATGTTGCGGGCCCGAAGCCATTGGCATGTAGCAGCTTTGACTAAGCGCGAATAATCCTAAATATCGTGTGGCTTCGAAAAAGAAATCTGACCAATCTGGCGCGAATGTTGTCATAGATGTCGGCAATCTTGGCAATGGTGACTTTATCGAGGGAGTCGAAAGCGCCATTTTCCGCCACAACGTAGCCACCCTCAGCCAAGAACCGGCAGATATTAGCATTGTTGTACTGTAATTTGATCGTTTCCTTCCCAGAATGTTTTTAGGTGGTTCACTTTTCAAACTTCCAAAACTATCAGCAAAACTTTAGAGATTGCGAAATTTAAAGATTCGGATTTTTAGAGACTCTGATTTTTAGAGATTCTGATAGGGCGGCGATACCGGGGAAATTTCAGAATCTCTAAAATCGGAATCTTTAAATGTCAAAATCTCTAAATCTCAGAATCTGTAAATGTCAGAATCAGGAAAATCAGGAGATTTAGAGATGCCGAAATTTAGAGATTCTGACATTCAGAGATTATAACTAGAGTGAGGGAGCGGCAGGCCTCCTCAGGCTTTCTTGGGCCGAATTGCATTTCCGCGCCTGCCGACGCCTGGCGGAAGCCTAAGGATTTACGCAGGCTTTTATGCAATGCGCAAAAACACGTTAATCTGGTTACTGCATCTAAAACGATCGTATCTTTTGTCGCAATAACAAATTAGAAGGATGCCGAAGGTGGGAAACATATAGGCAAGATATCAGGAGAGCCAATTGCATCCCCGCCCGTTCGAACCGACTCTTGGCTTTTTGTGTAAGCGCGTGCTATTAACGTATCGTGCCGTAAGGTTTGTCAAAAACAGTACCCTAACTTTGTAGAATATTCTTGTACCCAAGACAGCTCTTCGACCCCCCGGAAGTTTCAAAAAAATCCGTATTTGTTCGACAAAACTTCGAATATTATACGACTTTACATAAAATTTCCAGATAAAGCCTGACTAATTAGAGGTCAGGCGTACTTTGCATAGCCCAGGCTCAGCCTAGGCGATGCAAATTAAAAAAGCCTGAGGAAGCCTAGGCAAGCCTAGGCTTTAGCCTAGGCCTCCCTCACTCTAATTATAACATTTAGAAATTCTGATTTTAGAGATTCTAACTTTAGAGATTCTGATTTTAAAGATTCTGATACGGAGCCTAGGATAATGTGTATTTGAACAACCCTACCGCTATCTGCAGATCCTGGAGCAAGACGCGAAGCAGCGGCATGAACTTCTCGGGAGTTAAATAGTCGGTCGACGGCAGTTGGTCGAGTATGCAAGAATGAGACGCAAGGGTCTCTCTAAACGTCCATGGTTGTGCCTGAGTTTCGTTCAAAATGTTCAAAATCATAATGTCAACCAGCGCCCAAAACCCGCTTCGCGGGCCTTGGGCGCTGGAATGCGGCCTAGCTCATTTGAGCAATTACTCTATCAACTATAATAAAAAAGTTGTGGTGTCTGTCCGTCCGTCTGAAGCCGAATTCAACTCGAAGGGGAAAGGAGCTAGAGCTTAGGTCTCTTCGGATTCGGATAGAGCGTGGTCAGAAACCCCCATACTGATTAAAAAATTATGAAAAAGTTTTAGTTTAAATTATTAAAATTACTTTTGAAAGTTTTTCCTTAGTAAAAAGGGTGGGGGGCGGAGGCTGGGGTGATTTTGACATAGTGAGCCAGATGGCGCGCGTTTCGAGGATGAAAATTTTCAAGGGGGATTTCATTTCTTTTTTTTTCTCTCATTCCATCCGGTCGGTCGTTATTTTTGTTTTTTAAGGGGATTTCGGCTAGGGGAGGTATCTTAAGCCATCAGGAAGTTATTTAGGTAGTTTTTGAAGGGAATTTCAGCCATGGGGGGTATCTGAAGCCATCAGGAAGGTATTTAGGTAGTTTTTGAAGGGGATTTCAGCCATGGGGGGTATCTGAAGCCATCAGGAAGGTATTTAGGTAGTTTTTGAAGGGGATTTCGCCTAGGGGAGGTATCTTAAGCCATCAGGAAGTTATTTAGGTAGTTTTTGAAGGGGATTTCAGCCATGGGGGGTATCTGAAGCCATCAGGAAGGTATTTAGGTAGTTTTTGAAGGGGATTTCAGCCATGGGGGGTATCTGAAGCCATCAGGAAGTTATTTAGGTAGTTTTTGAAGGGGATTTCGGCTATGGGGGGTATCTGAAGCCATCAGGAAGTTATTTAGGTAGTTTTTGAAGGGGATTTCAGCCATGGGGGGTATCTGAAGCCATCAGGAAGGTATTTAGGTAGTTTTTGAAGGGGATTTCAGCCATGGGGGGTATCTGAAGCCATCAGGAAGGTATTTAGGTAGTTTTTGAAGGGGATTTCAGCCATGGGGGGTATCTGAAGCCATCAGGAAGGTATTTAGGTAGTTTTTGATGGGGATTTCAGCCATGGGGGGTATTGAGGGAGGTGGGAAAGGATGTGGTGGAGTGGGACATGCAGGGTAGCCCGAAGGCCAGATGGTTGCAGTCGCGAAGCGACTGTAACCATCTGGTCATTTTCTAAATTACATTACTACTCTACATTAATAATCTATTTTCTTTTATTTGCATGAGAAATTTGACTTTCCGATAGCTTGGGTCCTTCGGACCCCTCCCTTCCTCCGACCACACCCGCGCGTGCAACTTGCAAGAATGAGGAAATTTGGATTTTTTGGAATTATGCAAAGTAGCTCTCCCTGGCGCGGACACACACACACAAAGATACGCGACCAAATTATATAAGGTAGGATGTTTATAAGGCGAAATTTCGTGGTGTTTGAGTTTTGACGCTTCAATTCAGAATTTCTAAACTTACATAAGATAATTTCCCCTGAAAAAAACCCGAAATTCTTTGCAAAAGTTTGTTTCTATTCTGAATTTCAACCTTATGCTGGCAAATCATTGGCTCAATGTGTTGCCTTTTACCCCAAGGGTTGCTTTCATGCATTACACATTACTTTTCTATGTTCGCAACCTCCGAATACAGTTTTCGAACCGTTGTCGCGCGATCCTTGCCATATACTAAAAGCCAGGTGGTATAATGTGCATTAAAATCCTACAAGATTTTAGAAAATTTTTGACTTTGTCTTGACGATGCTCGGAATCTTCGGGGTTCAACCCACGATCCGCAGCCCAGAGGAGAAATCCTAAAATTTTATTTGAGCGCTATTAAACGCCGGCGCTTACTCTCCTTTAGGTCTTTGTACTCGACTTCATCGACACTTTCCAGCGCCTTTTTCGGGGACAGATTTAACTTCGTGGCAAACGCTAGGCATGCCTTTTATTCTTAATAAACCAAATTTATACCGGAATAAAGCATATCAGTTGTTTCCTTCTGGTCAGGGTCATTTCGCGTTCTGTTGCGCGCAAACAGATTAGGTCCATAGAAGTATCCTGAATTTGAAATTGACTTTGAAGCAGGGTTGTTCACGACGATCGTCTTATTCGATGATCGTCTGTCCGACGAACCAATCTTATATACTGAGTAGTAAGGTACTCCAAATCAACGATTTTGGCTCGTTTCATTAGGATAAGATGTTTTTTCAGCAGTTTTTTACAACGAGAAGTAAAAACTTATGTTGGAAAATGCGACTTTCCGCATACACGAACTTTCGAGAATATAGCCTCCGACCAGGGCTGGTCACGCTGGACCCGAATCGGATCCGTGGCGGACCGTGGCGGACCCAGGGGCTCACTAGTCAGATATGTTTGGAAAAGCCAGAATGCAACACGCACATTCGATATGCAAAAGAGCGGTGTGCCAAAAATGAAGCTGTGTGGATTAATCAAAATGATGTACAAAATTCTTCATTCCCATTAATTTTGGCGATTTATGCGACGAAAAGTAGCCGAGATGTGGAAAAATCGGAGCAGACCCCGGACCGTCCGTGGACCGGATCCATTATGACCAAACCCTGCCCTCGACAAAAAAATGTTTCAAAAATCTGACTTTGAAACTATTTTCGAAAATATGGCTTTCGACGTTATGATCGCCAGCCTATATTCGTTGACATAGTTCGATATTCTATGAGCAATAATTGCATGATTTGGTTTCGTCAGGGTAAGGGTAAGCACTCACGTTTTACAAATGCTCCAAACGCTAAAAGGTCTTCCGAAACGGTTGCGGTCTCCTTAGCACTCTTTGGCCGATATACTGCCCAATTAGGATGTTGCTCGAGGTCATCAAATGCTCCGAGCAGGTCCTCCATAATTTGAATATCGCTCTTGCCGAGTCGATGGCAATCGAGGATTTTGGTGAACATTTTCTAAACCAAGTTTTGTGAAAGCTGCAAAACGGTAAATTCACCCCACCTCCAAAGTTTTCTGGGGCTGCACAAGTTTGCAGGCATCTTCGGTGTCGAGTGGATTACCTTGTGAACATTGTGAACTTATGGGCTTATTATCCGTGGTCGGCTCTTACTACCCCTAGTAAACTTTTCACTACCCCGGTAAACGGACTATTAAACGAGTTAATAGGGCTGATAACGCTCCAAGGCGCTATCTTGTGATGACTTCTTTAATTGAGCACAGAAAGCCGGTAAATCGAAACCGGAAAATGCGGTCGAAATTGTCCTAGGATGGATTCCCCCTGGGATTTTCAATTTTGGTCAAAAACCAAATTTTTCGCTCAAAGTTAACCCATGGCGGATTCCGAAGCTGCAAGTGCTAAAATAATTTGAAGGTTGTTTGTTTAGACTGGTTTAACGTAGTTAACTTTGCGCCGAAAAGTTCGTGCCGCAAAGTTCGGTGAGCCCGCGGTATTAACCGCGGCGATAGCTGACTTTCACTTCGCAGTTACCTGGCTCCCAACCGAAGTCATCGGGTACCATCATGTTGAGAAACTGATAACGCTCCTGCGCAAACTCCTGCAATTCCTCAGTTAGCTTACAAGGAGTCCCTTTTGGATGCTTTTGGAGTTTCGGAACGGAAACTCCAAAAGCGCCTAAAAGGTGTCATTTAAAAAAGTATCTGGAAATGGTGTACCCTAGAACTTGCCGAATTCCGGCTGCGCCGTTTCAAATGACACAAAGAAAAAAGCAAACTTTATAGAATTGCGCTCGTTGCGCGTTGGGTAGGAAGTTGGATGTATCGATGGAACGCTGATAGTCCTCTTTCTTCATGGACAGTACCACGTCGCGCCATTCCCTGGCGGACGCATAGTTGTTGAGCTAAACATATTTATTTCCAGGAAAAGGCGACCATAGATGCTCAACAGAACAGTGATAATTGCAAGCAGTAGATCTTTAATATTTTTTATTGTATACGGATTCGGTCGGATTCGGTCACGTGATTAGCGGGTCCAAACGGGTCCTAAGGGCGAGCCAGCCCACGCCGACCGACCGATCTGATCGTGATTGAGGAAGGGGATAGGGCAGACAGATAGGCACCCTACCCACTCTTTTCGTTTTCGGATGAGAATCTCGACCGACAAAATCTGGACCGTAAGACTTTACTTCCCTCCCCCCACACCAGAAGGGTCTCAAAGCTTTCGGTATTTTCGCCATTTTTGTCGGGATTTTTGCAACGCCATTCGATAAAGCGTCAAAGATGTACTCAGAATTTTCATTTGACTCGACAATAATCCTACTATATATAAAAAAGTAGTGTTTGTGTGTCAGTGTGCATTTGCATGCAACTTCCGTCACCGCGTCCGGAGGATAGCTCAAGAGGGGAAGGGTTTTCAGCTACGTATGATACGCCATTAGGTGCCTAATGGCACCGAGATGACTGCACGCATACCAGATTTTGTAATTTATGCTATTTTCGACGTTAAAATTAAGTTTTTGTTGAAAAATCGGGCGAGCTCTTTGCTAGGAAATAATTAGCATACGCGGGAAGTGGCGATAGCCTATTTAATGGGAGAGAGGGAGCACTTCTCAGTGTTTCTCATCGCAGTTGCCAATTATGCAAAGGAAGTAATATGGGATTTAGACGGGCCCAGGGTTGAAAAGCCGCGAGGCGGCTTTGGTGTAAAATAGAAAAGTTATAGCGAAAAACTTCCGGTGGGGGGGATTCCAGATCGATCTAATCATCACGGGCGGTTTCCAGAAGCTAGCTTGAAAAAATTTAGTCATTACTGTGCCTGAATCTAAATGTTTTTCACGGCTATACGGCCGTTCGAGATTCTGTAAAACGAGATTATTACCAATCGACATTCTAGGGTTGGATGATCAACCTTTTTCGATTGGACCAGCCCGCCAGCCCCGGCGGTTCCTGCGGACTAATGGACCATCGGACCGACTCTGCGCCGAACTGGCTTAAACCAGATACGTTCGGGACCGGCCGGCGCTGGGACCCTATTTAAACGGCCAACTCAACGGTTTGCCAAAATAAAACCAGCAGCAAGTCGATAGCGTGCGAAACTGACCCCAAGCTTGTCGCGCCGCGCCCGCAAGATGATCTCAGCTATGGTGTCGCTATGGTTGAAGAAGCTTAGGATATGTTCCGGCAATTTGCCGAGGTCTTCCTTCGTCCAATTTGATTTATAAAAATCAGAGTGCAGGTGGCAGCCGGAATCATCTGTAATTTGAAATAGGAAAGTAACCGGTTCTCTTCCGCGCGAATTTTCGTCGACTTAGAGGTTCAGACCCAATGCGGACCTTGAGGCGGGGTCAGGGTAATAATTTTAAACAAATATTTTAACTATTCCACACTTTAAGGGGCCCAAAAAACCGGCCCCCCCCCCGGGCCGCGAAAAGCCCCGGCGGGGAGGATTTTTTTCCAATCCGAAGGCCCCCCAAAGGGGGGGAAAAAAGAGCGCCTTTGGTTTTCCAAAAAATTTTGTGTTTCTTTTTTTTTTATTTTTTTTTTGGAAGGGGAGAAAGGATTCGTTTTTTTTTTTTTTTTGAAAAAGAAAATGCGGATTTTTATTAAAAATTTTAGGATTTTTTTTGGGTTTTTTGGAAATTAATAAAAATTTAAAAAAAAAATTAAAAGGGAAGGGAGATTGGTTTTTTTTTTTTTTTGGTGGGATTTAGAAAGAAAAAAATGAAAAAAGAAAGGGCCGGGGGAGGAGGGGGGGGGGGGGGGGGGGGGGGCTGTGTATTCTATTTTTTTGTCGATACTGCTTTAGGGACGCTTCTAACAAAGTCCATGTGCAGGATACGGAAGTGCTGATGCAGGATACGATAGTGCAGGACACCGATAGGCACATGGTGCGCACGATGGTCATGTCCAGGGCACGATCATGCACGTGTAGGATAGGTTCAGCTGTTGACGATGGCTAATAAATCATTTGGAAATGCTCTCACCTTTTACGGAAAGACAGTTCCCGAAATATCGGATGGGTTCCTCACTGCAAGCTCCTATTGTCGCCATCCATAAAAGTGTTGTCAGACTGGAGATCATGGCGGTCTTAATTAATATGGGTTTGGTAGATAAGTCCTGCCAAAAGTCTTTAAACATCTCTATAAAGCCGCAGACACGGATGAGACCATGAGAACGCGCGCGACCTGGCTCATTATGTCCAAAATCGTGCGAAAACCCGTTTACTACCAAGCTACTAAAATCGGCTGCTAAATAATGAAGTTTTTAAAATTCTGATCTTGATTAGCCTGGGGGTTTCTGACCATCCAAATCCGAAGAGACCTAAGCTCCTTTTCCCCCCTGCGAGTTGAATTCGGTTTCACACGCACACAGACAGACACCTCAAGAAAATTGTTATAGTAAATAGATACATGACCTCCAACATCAGCATCATTCTGACCTTGCACAGTTTTCGACCATATGTTCGGGTTTAAAGAGGCCCCAAAGTTGCCAACCCCCAAAAAATTATCTTGGAAACTACGGAACAAAATTGACTAAAACATTTGTAAATACCTAATTCCGTACGAAGATCATTTTTCTGAAACATTTCAGGCTCACACTGGGCGTAAGTATAGGCAGCGAAAGCCAACGGTTTAGCCTAACCACATGCCTGGACGCAGTACGAGCCGCGACTATAAGGACTAGCCCCACTATTTATTTTATCTCTGAACGCCATAACGCCGGAAAAATTAAAAAAAAACGGGCGGGGGGGGAAGGGGGGCGGGGGGGCCCCGGGGGGGGGGGTGGGGGGTGGTTTTAGTTTTGATCATTGGGACCGACTTTGTACAGGGTGTCCAAAAATTCCCGGACAAAGAGATTTTAAGGGCGGAGTTTTTACGGAAAACCGGGGTTGGGGCGTATGCTATTATTTTCACCAGCAATTAACGCATCGTTTTTGGTTTTTGAATAACAATCTCACAATTTGGGTTCAAAAATTTTCCGATGCGCTTAGGTATGTGAAAACGTGCGTTTCCCGTTTTGCTTTTTTTGAAATACGGTCCGATTCCTGCACGAGCAACCGAACAAGGTTATCTTGTAACTGACGGAACATATTACGCACATTTTACTCGAGGATAGGTATATTTTCAAAACGATTCAAAAAGTAGGACAAAATCTACCTAAGTGCAAAGAAACAGAAAAAAAAAACAGAGAAAAATCACTTTAAAAAGTGTCCGGGTATTTCTGGGATACCCTTTATTAACGCCAGACGCACTGACCCATTTCGCGGGGACGCGGGCGTCTGGAAGGGGCGTGCCGGATCGATGCCAAAAGGTCAAGGTATTTACCGGATGCCAAAATTAATAAAGTTGCACAAAAATAAAACGATGGATTGCGATAGATCCGAGCATGGATTGTCAGAGTTTTGTATGTACGCGGATTTTCACCAGCTAAAGGAGCCCGGTAAAATTAGAAGATCGTTTGTCAAAGGCCCGAACAAGGCCTGTTGCGGTTTTTCGATCCTTTTTCTTCGATGCCATCAGAGAGAGAGAGAGAGAGAGAGAGAGAGAGAGAGAGCATCATCGAGTTAGTAAGGTGGCAGTGTTTTGAATTTTTTAAGAGTTGCCTTTCTAGGTTCTCTATCGGAGGTTAAAGTTGGCACTCTTGAAAATTCTCAAAACTACTAAGCCGGTTTGATCGATATTTCGATATTTATTGAATAGGGTTCTAACAGCGCAAAGCTTTATTATCACAATTACTTTATTTTATTGGAAAATATATAGTCAAATTATAAAACCAATTCGATTCGATCGATTCTCCCGACGATTTCCAAGTAATCCTGAAAAAAATGTATAAAACGTTTTATAAAAACAGACCAATTGTGAGCGCATCTTGTAGATTTCCATAAAATTAGTAAATTAGGTTATGTCGATAAAGTCGAAAGCGCCATTTTCAGCAAAAAAGCTTACAAGCCTAAAACCAAATTGCAATGCCCACAATTTTTCACACGATTCAGCATTGTTCATGAAGGGCAGCTCGCATGATATTGCGGAATTAAGAAAATCTAACCGTGAAATATGCTTATACGAGCATTGGTCCGTATCATCTTCAGATAAGCCTAAACTCGTTTGCCTAGGGAAAGTCTTAGAAACTGACCAGTCGCGTCCGCATATTTCTATAAATTCCTGGTAACGTCTCGATCGTGCCCTTTTTCATAAAGTCAAACGCGCCATCCTCCGCCACGTAATAGCCGCCCTCCGAAAGATAGCTACACAAATTGGCATTGTTATACTGAAAATAAATACGGATTGTACAGCGTGGTTTTCCAGGTAATTTTTGAGGTTTGCAGCCTCACCGCAATTTGCAAATCCTGCAACAGGGAGCGGGCGAAGGGCATGAATTTTTCGGGATCCAAGTAGGCGGCTGATTTTAGCTGGTCCAAAATGCAGATGCCGTCACTTGGCGGTTCTCTAAAATTACCTGTCTTTAAATTACCCGGATAGTCAGAAAAATGGGTTTAAAATTGGCTGGACTTTACTCTACCCTCCCCACAGCCGGGCGTTCCAAAATCAATTTTTTCGACCTTTCCGCTACTGGCGGGATTTTGGTTACGCTATTCGATTCAAAAAAATATACTAAAAGCTGGCAGCCCAAAACAATGTAGTAAAAAAATGCTATATCGAAAAACTTTCAGGAACTTCCGGCTAGGAAGGGCAAAGTAAAGTAGTTTTTGCTGTGTTGTCCGGTTCCTGGCGGCCGCAGCTTCAATGGTGTAAAAAACCGAAAAAACGATCGAAAATGGTATCTTCCATTTTAAAAAAATTAAAATTAATTTTACTGCCGAATTGGCATGCTGAGACCATGACTCACTTTCGAATTAGAGTGATCTTTTCGAGTAGCTGCCTCACGACGACATCCCGCTCCATGCCGTACACTAAAACCGTGACCCAAATGCCCTAAAACACTCACACGATTGCAAAAACGTCCTAGCTTCCTTCCAGCGAATCACAGGATTTGCGCCGCTTAGGCCTCGTGCAGTTGCCCAATTAATATACTCTAAGATGTTCATTTTGCCAAATAAGCAGCTATACCTTCCTTTAGTTCCTCATATCGCAGCTGAGCACATTTTTCATACTCGTCAGCGACTCTTTGCAGCTTTTGCCCCGACCCAAACACTAGATGTTTTTCTTCCAAAATAACGTAAAAAGGCTCCTACCAGATTCTAGCAAAACTCTGATCGTGTTTTGGGCAATTTTTGTTTCATTCGGGTCGGGCTTATCTGGCGCATCTAGATATCCTATAAGCAAAACATGAGGATCGACACCTGAAAATTATCCCGAAAACTGTAAACATTCCGCCCCACCTCTTACAAAATGCACAAAAACATCATCAATGCGCTCATCGTGACCCCATTGTGGATGTTTCTCAATTTCTTCAAATATGCCCAGTAAATTCTCCGTTTTCTGGATATCGCTGATGCAACTCCTGGCAATTGAAAATCGTAGCAAGCATCTTCTAAACCCTCAATGATTACGAAAAGCAACGCATTAAGTTTCCGGGTGAAATACTGCATAGTTCAACTAACACCTGCAAAATCTTCTCTGGGCGCACGTTCTTGCATGCATCCTGTATGTCTGAGTAATTCCCCATAGTATATTCCGGGGGCGCGATTTGGCCCAAAAAGTCGTGACGACTCGCATTCCACTCCTATAATAAACAATACCTTCACCACTGCGAGCAACCGGGCACACGGAATTCTTGCCTTTTCATATTATTTCATTTTGATCCTACTATATTTGAAAAAACTGGCGTCTACAGTGTGTGCCACTTTGCATGCAATTTCAGTCTGTCTGTCCCGAGGATATATCAAGAGGGGATGAATTTTAGGGTATGTGAGCTACGTCTTTCGATGAATAGTTATACAAATTTTTCCGAAAGTAGCAATTTGTCGATAAAGGTTTTTTTTGGCCTTACACGGGGAAGGGCAGGTCCACGAAGTGGAAATCCAGAAAAAAGAGAGCAGAGGCCGTTGCGGCGGCTTCGCGGGTTTTACCTTGTTTTGACGCCAAATTTAAATACCGACCTTGTAGAACCGCGTTCTCTGCTCGCTTGCTATTAGATGTGCCTCATCGATCTGCGGGTGCTCTTCGTCCCGTTGCATGGCGATCGCCAGCATCATCCAACGATCACGCGAGACATAGTAATGTAGCTGACAGAATAAACTACAGTTCCGGCACCTCGGAAGCCTAGTCACGGATTAGCAAATTAGTAAAAAGACGAGGGACCTTTACTGGCTAAACTCTTTCCCCTCTCTCCCCTCCCCCCTCTCTCTCACTCTCTCGCTCTTCTCTTTCCTCTCTCTCTCTCTCTCTCTCTCTCTCTCTCTCTCTGTGTCTCTCTCTCGCTCTCTCTCTCACTCTCTCTCTCGCTCTCACTGGGTACAGGTCAAGTAGCCGCACATTACGGCCGAAACATTAAAACCGTCAACCAGAAAATTTAACTGAGAAGTAGCTTACGGTCCAATTCCGCTTTCTCGCTTCGAGGCTCTGTTGTGCGAGTATGTCACTATCATTTAGAAACTTGATCATATGGCGCGGAAATTCCTCGAAATTATCGGGAGTCCAGTTTTTCGTGTAGAAATGTGCGTAAAGTCGACATCCTGTGTCGCTGTCATCCGGACCTCCTGGAAAAGTTCTTGTTACAGCCGAAGTGATCTGTCTGTTTCGTGCTGATTCGATCTCTACCGGGTGCCCCAATAAAAAAACATATCTTCTTTATACGCATTTTTTGGTTTTTTGAAATTCCTTCATTTAACGATTTTACATGCAAAGTAGTAAAAAACCCTTTCTATTTCGGCCAAAAAAGGGATGATGTATAGAGGATATCTCACGATCCAAATGGAATTGGGCGTTAGTTTTTGGAGGGTAGTTTGAAAATGGAATTTCTCCCGATTTATGATTTTGGTTTTTGTCAAATTATGTAAAATAAAATGTTCAAAAGAATTTTCTATTTAGTTTTTTTTTTAAAAATTCCTTAGCAAAATGGTCCAAGAGCCGTGGTGTCCGGGCCATAACTCTAAGCCCTGATGGAATTCCGGACTGAAGTTTGGAAAACTTATGTATTCGATGGTGGTGATCACGCACTTGGATTATCTGGACAAATTTTGAGCAGATTCAGGCGTAAAAATCGAGTAGAAGATTAAAAAGAATGGATTTAAAGTCTTGGTTCCTCGACGATGTCCAGAGGAAAAGGGCCGCGAAGCGGTCTTTTTTCACCGGTTGTACGATATTGTAGCCTATAGTAGGAGATTCGGAGCTGCCATAACCGCTAGTCGCCTCAAAAACTTACCCTGGCATGCGATATGATACAGACGGAAACGACAATCCCATGCTTCCGCCATGGATATACTGATAAGGATGAGGAGACGTAGGACCATGACAGGCCTAAATTGCGCGCATTAATCAAACAATGCAAATCAACATGCAAAAGCCGATTTGCTATCGGTTTTTCGAAAATCATTTTGTCGCAATATCAATGCGCTAAAATTTTAATCTGGGAACTGGTTGAGATAAATAATCAAGCCGGAAGGGGCATTGAAATTTTAACAAAATGACTTTTTGGCAAATCGAAATTCCGAAGATGAAATGCCGATAACACAAGAATAAACCCAAAAACCCTAATGGCAATGCAGATACCTAGCCGACGACTGGACCAGAATGGTAAGTAGTGAATCACTCCCGAGAAGGCGTCCTTGAGCAAGATGTGGGTCACATATGACTGTGACTGTGTTTGATCAGCACTAACCATCATCCTTGGATGATCGATGGGGGTTCTTGGGCATTATCGGGGGGAGGAAGATTTTGCATTAATCTAGTCGGCTGGCGCGGCGATTACATGTCGTAATGCCTTGTGAGGCACCCAATCTCACGACCTCAGGGATTCTTTTATCAATTCATAATTAAAATGTTTAGAATAGTCAAAATTCGGGGAGGATTACGGAAACATCGTCAGAATTTTGAAACCCAAGCGTTTTCACGCCCAAACTGGGGTAAAAGATCAGGCGACGCGGCGACGCAGCGATTTGCCGCAAATCAACTCTGATGGGCGTGGACCGAATTTCGGAGCTCCTTTAATCAGCATCTGCACCGCAAAACTTTATTATAAAATTAATTTTATTAGTTTGAAAAATGTATAAGCCAATTATGAAATTATGCATCATGACGTCCATTCTCCCGGAGATCTTCCAAGTAATCCTGAAAAATATTTTATATAATTTTTCATCAATACATACCAATCGTGCGCGCATATTTTTGTAGATTGCCATAAAAGCGTTGACTGCCATTTTGTCGATAAAGTCGAATGCGCCCTTTTCAGCGACGCCATGCCCGGCTTTCCCAACAGCAAAACGGCGACAGATATTCGCGTTGTTGTACTGAAGTTGGTTCTGGGCTCATAGCGGGGGGGCTCTTACAATTAGCGTTGCTCCGAATCTCATATTCTATCGTATCTTACAGGTCGTCTTAATAAAAACACCCCCTCTAACTCGACGCAGAAGTATCGTATCGGAACGACCAGTGGAAAAAGACCGCTTCGCGGCCATTTTCCACTGGACCCCGTCCAGGAACTATAAATTTGAATCGCTTCTTTTTAGCCTGCGGCGCAAGAACCTGAGTCAGACCATTCTTTGGCCTGCGGCGCCAGAGCCAGTGCTGCGCTGGAATCCTTGAGCCTGCGGCGCTAGCTACTGCTTTTTCTCCCGGATTTAGCCGCGGCGCAAGAGCGTGTTTCAAGGACCTTTACATTGGCCTGCGGCGCTAGAGCCTGAGTAAAGGCCCATCCTTGGCCTGCGGCGCGAGATCCTGGACCAAGAACCTTTTCTTAGGCCTGCGGCGCTAGAGCGAAGGCCAGGCCTAAATCGCGCACACGGAAAGCCTAGAAATATGTTTTATTGCTGAACTACAAAAAAGCAAAAAGCTAAATTTCCCGCGGATCTGAACCCGCGACCCTCAACGCCGTAGCCCCGGCCTTGATCCACTACACCACAGGGGGAGGTGGAGCCGGCAGCGGTAAAGGTCTCTTCATATCCTGGGGGTCGAACCGAGCTGTGCTAAAAGGAATGGGCTCCAGCACCTCCGACAGGCATGCCTACAGGCCACTTTACAAAATCAACTTTTGAGTTGGAAGCTGGTCGAATTTTGTGAAAATAATAAGATGCGCGTGATCCTCGCCATTGAATGCATCAGTGGTCCAAAATAAAGGTCCAAATTCGGCATGTGAATTGAGTTATGGCCTGGACACCACCGCCCGTGGCACGATTTATTAAGGACCTTCCAGAAAAATCCTTATAAAAACTTTGTTTTCAAAAATTTTCCAAAATCCGAAAAAATGTATCTGGGGAAATACTTTTCCCATCTACCCTCCAAAAATGAGACCCCAATTCCCTCTAGGCGCTGAGAAAACTTCCGGACAACGCGGCAAAAAACCATTTTGTTAAGGATTTTTCACTTTTTTTGCTCATAAAATTGTTAAATGAAGGAATTTCGTAAAACAAAAAAATGCATCACTGACAAATGTGTTTCTCCACCTCCATGCCAAAAATCAGCTCGAAATTCGGCCTGACGACCGAGAAATCGGCTGTACAGAAAACAAACATACTTTTCTCGCTTATAGGATAGGATAGTTACACCATTCGAAAGCCCATGAAACGGCGTGTTTGCAACAACCTTCAAAACCATGTTTTTATTTAAACCTGCTATTTTTGATTGACAAAAATAAATTAAGAAGCCTTTCCTTGATGTTTTAAATGCGTTGTAAAATGGCGAATTTAGGGAAAAATATGGTTTTGAAAAACCCGCCATTTCAAGGGCTTTCGAATCGTGTGCCAATCACAGTCTCAAGGTCGCTAAATCACAGATCTTCAAAACCTGGAATTCTGACATTTTTATGGTTTCGAAATTCTCAAAACCCAAGTCTTTTATTCTGGAAGCCTTGATCAGCGCTAAATAATTTTGCGAGGCTAGACAGTATACCCTCTTCACCCGCCCCCCCCCCGTTAACAGTCCAGATCACTGAAATAGGCTCCTTTAAGCATTTTACTTAAAGGTTTTTTAGCTTTTCGGGAGTCACATATGTGTTTTTAATGTACGCAAATGACCCACCAAAATTTGCAGGTCCTGTAATAAAACACGAATGAGCGGCATAAACCGCTCAGGCTCCAGGTAGTAGCCCGTTTTCAGTTGGTCGAAAACGCAAGTGTCTGATGCTGGCGTGGGTGATTCTCTGAATTCACGACATTTTTGAGGTTGGTCGCCTACAGCAGAAATTAGGAAAATTCAAAATTGAGAAAATTACACACTTTTCAATATAGGTAACCTCGTCAAGCAGCTTCTCTGACACTTGTTCTGGAGCCAAGCCATAAACTAAAATTCACTTAGAAGTTTAGAACCGCACTTACGCGATTTCACAAAAGCTCTCGCTTCATCGTGACGTTGTTCCAAAACGCGTTGGCGTAGACCGCGTCTGGTTGCCCAGCGGATGTATTATGGAAAAAATTGGTACTGAACGCTTAGCGGGGGGTCAAGGCATCCGAACGCTTTGTAATGAAAGGGCCATAAATTAACAGCAAGTATATTAATAGTGTTTTACAAAAAAAACCTAGATTTCAAAAACATATATTTCTTAAACCATCTAAAAAGTTTTGCAAAAATAGAAATTTTGATAAAAATTCGATCAATTTTGCGTCCAAAACCGATATTTTTAACGATTTTTAATAAGAATTTACATAGTTTTTTCGCTTAGGAATGGTTGAAAACCATTTCGAAACATTTCCACTTTTATCTTTCAAACATTAGATCCTAAGAAGAAAAGGCGCCCCCCCCCCCGGAAAAACAAAGGCTCTATGCAGGCCGATACCAAAAATCTTGTGTTCTTGGGCTCGAAAGAGGAAATTTTGGCTCAAAAAAGACCCACTGTCTTTCAGCTCTTCGTACCCATCTTGCTGTAGATAGAGAGCTCGGGGCCGAGGCGCCGGCCCAGAACGGAATGCTGGAACCAAATACAAAAACAGTAAAATTGATTTACCAGATCGAAACAGGTTCTCCACCGAATACACCGTGCCGCCAGATGCATTAATAGGCGGTAGTAGAGACTCGTTGATGGAGGAGACATTGCTACTCAAAGGGTGCTGTCGCTCAAGTGCGTCGAATAGTCCCAGCAGTTGTTCCGTGTTTTGAACATCGCTCGTTCCGAAGGGCTCGCATTGGAAGAATAGGGATCCCATTTCCTGGATCATGCTTGCACAGGGTGCTCCAATAAAAAAAACATCTTTGTCTAGCTCGACGCAGAAGTATCGGATCGGAACGATAGGTTAGAGTGCAGTTGACCCCCCGCCCCCCGCCCCAGCCGGTGCCCAACTTTTGTATCTCGGCTCCCTGTTCATCTACAGGTGTGTAAGTGCACCAAGATACTCGCCAGAGCAAGACGAACATTTTTGTATACTTTACACGCCTGTAGATGAACAGGGAACCGAGATATAGGTGAGCAGGGGCGTACGAGGGGGGCAACAGGGGCAAGTTGCCTCCCCCCCCAAAATCGGCCGAAGGCCGAAAAGTTCATAAGGGGGACCCTATGATTTTCAATAAAAGCCTGCGGCGCTGTTTATTACTGTTTTAAGACGGTTTTACTCTATGAAGCCATTTTTCCAAAATTTTTTTGCCTGCGGCGCTGTTTTTCATTGGTGTGTCAACTGTCCATATCAAATTTTCGCCTGCGGCGCCTTTTCTGTGATGTTTTTACATGAATTTGAGCGTTTCTAACGCTTTTTCCTTATTTTTTTTGCGGCCTGGGGCGCTGTTATAGCCGCGATTTTTGAATGTTTTGATAGTGGTGACCGGGGGTCGACAAAAATTTCGGGTCCTCCCCCTCAAAACTCGGGTTCGGGTACGCCCCTGTAGGTGAGGGTCGGTTGGGGGGGGGGGGAGGTAAACTGCACTCAAGCCAAATGATAGTTATACCAACCGAAAGCCCTTGGCACGGCGAGTTTGCAAGAATTTTCAAAACCTTGTTTTAGTTAAATGCGCCATTTTACAAGCCACTTTGTAAAATTTTTCGGTTTTTCGTGGTTGGATAAGAGCTAATTTGCCTTAATTACTCCAAATAAAATGTCCGGAAGTAACCGTTAATAAATGCAGAAGCGGTTCTTCAATGTTGTTAACTGCTTTATAAAATAGCTCGTTTAAATAAAAATATAGTTTTGAAAATTATCCGATAATGGCCGTTTCAAGAGTTTCAACTATCATTCCGCTCTGATACTTCGGGGTCGAATTAGAAGAGATTTTATTGGGACACCCCGTGATCTACACAGTAATTTCCATACCTTCAGCAATTTCTGGGGCTGTTTGTCCTTGCAAGCCGAACGAGTGCTTTCACGATCATAACTCCACCCCGAATCCCATTCCCGGTGAAAACCATCCAGTTCTTCGACGAATTTCTGAAAAAAAAATTGGGTTGTGCTCGAAAACGGTTGGCGGCATGACAATGAAAGATCAGACCTTGTAGAACTCGACGCGCCGCGCATTCGGCAACAAGCTCGATTCGTCGATCGGCAAATGATCAGGATTCCTGAGCAGAGCATCTTTCTCAATTTCCATATCGCGAAGCATCGTATTCCACGGCACGTGCGGGTAGTCGTGAACCTGGAAGTGTGATCTTTAGATGCGCTTAAACCCTTGGAACATCATTCAGTTTTTTTCTAAGTTTTTTTATTCATCGTTCAAGGTTGAAAAGCCGCTTCGCGCCCCCATCTAACTCAACGCAGACGTATCGGGTAGGAATGGTAGTTACACCATTCGAAAGCCCTTGAAAAGCCGAGAATGCCACAAACTACAAAACCATTCTTTGATTTAAATGCCGTATTTTAAAAGCCATTTTGTTCGATTTTCCGGTTTTTCGGGGCCACATACGAGCTAATTTGCCTACGGGTTTCTCAAGCAAAAGGACCGGAAAGTCAGAATAATAAGAAAAAACCAGGCTGCCAGGTTTCGGGTCGAAGAAGGAGAAGAGCGATGGAGGCCTCGGCTCAGAAGAGATCCGTCTGCTTGTTGGAGCGGCTGACACGAGCTGCTTGGCCAGCGCATTGCTGTGTTTGAAAAAGTTGATCACATGCGTCGGAAATTTGTCGGTATCCTTTTTGTCCCAGCTTGTCTTGTAGATATCGGTGTAGGTCAGACAACCCGGGTCCTTTTCTTTCTCTCCTAAAAGGGTGCTTTTGCATTATCGGAATGGGGGGGGGGGGCGTAATCGTTTTTCTTGATATAAGCCTAGAAATGCTAACTTAATCCTAGTAACTTGATAGAAACTGTTGTAATAGTATTTTTAGTAATCTATAACTATATAACAAACGATCTTTTTTTTTTGGGGGGTGGGGTTGTGGGGGGTTTTGGGGGGCCAAAAACCCCCCCCCCGGCCCCCCCTTGGGCTAAAAAAAAAAAAAAAAAAGGGGGTTTTTTTTTTTGGGGCCGGAAAAAAAAATGGGAGGAAAAAAAAATTTGGGGGGGGTGGGGGGGGGGGGAGAAAATTGCCCCCCGGTTTAAAACATTGTAAATTATTATAAACAATTAAAAAATCAAAAAGGCGGAACTGTGGTCAAAATCGGCCTTTTTTGCTAATAGCTATTTTCAATATTTTTTTAATAAAAATTGTGTAGAGTTTTATGTTTAACAATAGTAAAAAAATTTTCGAAACACCACGCAATACAATTTATATTTGAAACATTCCTTTGAAATTCATTGGACATACCGTCTCCGCATACACCGCAATAAGAGTTGCGGGACCAGACCGTTGATCCGGTTATCGTGATGCACACGATTAGCAATAAGCGGGTGACCATGGCGATCTGAAGCAGCACGTTTGGTCAATTACAGGGTGTGCAAAAAATAGAGCACTCCGCCCACACCCGCCCTGGCAGTTCGGAAAAGTATACAATTATCGTCATTCAGGTATCTGTAGTTTTATGATCGAAAAATGCGAAAAAGCTAGATTTCTGTGACGCTTGCATATGCGATGTCCCATCCAAATTTTGCGGTTTTTGATACAGTACGCTCGATATCAAGTCAATAACAAATAATTTTAGAAAAATTAAAATCGCTTGTTTTCTCGCATTTTCAAGCATTTTTGAATGGTATAAAAATCATCCCGATCCGGGCTTGCTCCAGTACGCTGTTGGGCTGCTTTTTCGGACGCCCTGCTTTGTGGTCAGTTAATAAGACAAGAAATATTATTGTAAAAACGACAAAAAGAGCTAGATACGCATAAACAAGCTATTGATTAAGGATAAAGCGCGATATGATAGTCACAACAGAGCTGCTGCTCGATTTTGGAACCAGGTCAGCATATCCCGCAGGATATCCTATTCTCTATCCCACTTCCCAGCGAATATAATCAACAGAAAGCTTTATTCTTTGAGAAACCGATAGATCATAACAGCAGCAATGATTTAAAATATCGAGTTAATGTAGATTTTATTAACACAATTTTCTGGATCACAAAAGTCGGATAAATCAAAAATACAATGAAATTAACGAACTGATGCCATATCAATGACGCCCATTCTCACGCAAAGTGTCCAAGTAATCCTAAAAAAAATCTAATCTGGCTTTTCGTAGAACCATACCATTCGCGCGCGCATATTTTTATAGATTTCCATAAACGTATCAATCGCCATTTTGTCGATATTGTCGAAAGCGCCCTCTTCGGCCACGTCATAGCCCGCCTCGTTGAAGAGCCGGCAGATATTCGCGTTGTTGTACTCAAATTTACATAGATAATTTTAACAACGCTTTATATTGCTTAAGTTTATTTGGCAAAAAAATACCCACGATAGTTTGTAGATCCTGTAATAATACTCGGGTCAGGAGCATAAACTTCTCGGGCTCCAAATAATACGCAGATTTGAGTTGGTCCATAATGCAAAATTCGCAAGGAGGTGATTCTCTAAATTTTTCAAATTTTCGTAAAAATTTCGTTTTAGTCGGTTTTCGCAAAATCTCCACTGATTTGCCTATTTAAACCTGTCCTTTCAGATCGATGTCAACAATTACGAAACTAGGGTCAGCGTAAGAACTGGAACGGCCACATTTTAATGGCCAATTAAACCCTAAAACCCACATTTCAATGACTGCCACCTTTTCAGAAAGTTTCTTCAATGCGTCTGATCGTTCTATGCCATAAACTAAAATGGATTTTTAGAAGCCGCTAGCGTCTCAAAACTTACACGATTTTACAAAAACTCTTGCTCCATTCTGGCGTTCCTCTGAATCGCTGTCGTTCAAACCACGAGTTGTGGCCCAACGCACATATTCTGAAAGATATCTTATTTGAATAGACAAGCAGCAGGAAAATTTTGCCAAAAAATACTCACTGTCTTTCAGCTCTTCATATCCGTCTTTCTGTCGGTTCTCGGCTTGGGCAAGGCGCTCTTGGGCAGCACCAAATGCTAGAAACAATTATGCAAAATGAAAAATTAATTTTACCGGTTCGAAACAAATTTATAGTCGATTCATTCAGATCCTTTTCAGAGGCGAGTATCTTCGTTGTCTCGTCAAAAAGGGTAGAGAATCGTTATTTGATGTCTTGTTGCTTCCGAAAAGGTATCCTAAAATTGGAGCTGTCTCAACCAGTTGTACAGCTTGCTAATTATCTCGTCAAAAGCTCACGCTCCGCAAACATCTCAAAAATATCATCATTCGCCGAATCAGCAGCGACCCAGCCAGACTGCTGCTCAATTTCGTCAAATAACCCCAGCAGCTGCTCCGTTTTTTGAATATCACTCTTTGTTAGAGGTTGGCATTGGAAGAGTGCGGTCACGATTTTCTGAAAAATGTTTTTTTTTGTTGTTTGTTGCGCACATCCACTCCATACTGGCAGCATTTTCTGGGGCTGACTGCGGTTGCAGGCCTTTTGCACTTCGTCGCGCTTATAACCCCACAACGAGGACATTCTGCCGTAAAAACCATCCAATTGTTCGGCGAATTCCTAAACGTTAGCCAGATAAATAGACGCGGTGTGGGCTTAACTTCACCTCAAAAAAAAACCCTTTAATAAAGGAAATTCAAACCTGATAAAACTGCTCACGCTGCGCGTTCGGAAACAGGCTGGACTCATCAACTTTCACATAGTCATCGTTGCGCAGCCAGGCATACTTTCCGATTTCCATATAGCTGAGCAGTGAATTCCAGGGCACATAGGCGCCGAAAAATATCTAAAATTTTAATAACTTTAGGGGGGAAAGCCTTCAGGTACAATGGAAGCCGGGTTCTTTAGCATTATAGGGGGGGGGGGGTTGGGGTTGGGGAAACAAAGTTTTTTGCGTAAATCTAGAATATCTCACTATCTTCAACAAAAGTATTTTCATGATGTTTTTAGTCAAATAAAACCATATTTTAACTAGAAAAACAATCTAAAAATTTTCAAAGGTGTTCAAAAAGCCGAAGTCTTGGCCAAAAACGGAAAAACTATATTTTTTTGTAGTTTGTAAAGATAAAGAAAGGAAAAACAATTTAGAAACACTCCCACCATTTATATTTTAAAATTGGTTCCTAAAGTCCCCCCGATAATGCGAAAGAACCGCCAGCCGATCAAGAACCAACACCGATGCGTTCGGGGCGGTTGTCACGAGTACTTCGGCGAGCGCGTCGCTGTGGTTGAAGAATTGAATCACACGCGTCGGATATTTGTCGAGATCATCTTTATCCCATTTTGTCTTGAAGAAATCGATATAGGTGAGGCAACCCGGGTCGTTCGGTTCTAAAAGTGTCATTTCCAGTACGGATATCGCGTGGAAAGGATTAGATTTGGCCAAGATCCGGTAACCTTGACTTCGCAAATCTGCAGTCTCTCACCATTAGAGCATATACTGGAAAATCCTCCCTCGCGGCTCCAGACCGTCGCCAGGGTTATGGTGGTGCAAAACGCAAACAAAACGCGGGTGAGCATCCCTAGTCAAAACAGCCGTCTTTTCTTATCACATCGAATTCCGTAATCATAATGCCAAAATCACGAATTCGATAATCCCGAATTCCAAAATCCTTAATTCCTCCACGAATGCTAATTACAGGGTGTCCAAATAAAAAAACACCCCCTCTAACTCGAGGAAAAGTATCGAATCGGAATGATAGTGATATCATTGAAAAGCCCTTGCAACGGCGAATTTACAACAAACTTCAAAACCACGTTTTTCGTAAAATACCCGATTTTACCAAGCATTTAAAAACCTTAGGAACGGCCGCTTCATCCTATCAACGGCCGCGTCAGACAGTTTTGCTTGGAAAAATTTAGGCAAATTAGTTCGATTGCAACACCGGAAACCGCAAAAATGTTAAAAAACGGCTTGTAAAATACTGGATTTAAATGAAAACCTGGTTTAAATTATTACTGTTGCAAACTCGCCGTTTCAAGCGCTTCGATGGCGTAACTAACGCTCCGATCCGATACTCTGCATCGAGTTAGAGGAGGTGTTTTTTTGGGACACCATGTGCGGTATCAATAGAACCTTTGACCACGTTTTTCGGTAAAATACGTTTAAAAATTTTCTTCGCATCTCGAAATTTGGAAAATGGCATAATAACTACCGGTGCCAGGCCGGTTCGAGAAAAACTAGCTTTAGGAAATAACCGGTGGTCCATGGACAAAATAATTTTAATTTGATGATCTGATTTGGCAGTTTCTTCGGGGTCTTGAATTCGCGGCTATGAGCATTCCGGGTTTTGGCATTCGGTTTTATGGTAGCAAATGAAACAACCGGCTAAATGGAAAGGGCCAACGATAATGATGGATTGTAGCGGACCTTACAACAAGACAGGGCCACACAGTAAAACTCGCAGATAATCATCAAGAGTTTGTTAACCAGCAAACGTTTTAAGGAGCTACTCAGGTCAGGCTCGCAACAAACCGTCACCCTATGTGGCTCTCCTTTTTTAGCGGGTTGTGCCTGATTTATGGCTCAGGGTCAAGGTTTCGTTTTTCAGCGATCCTTCTAGGCAGCTGGAAAAACTTCTTATATTTATTTATTGAGAAGGCAAAAAATTATCAAAACGTAGGAGTGATTTAACAGATCAAAACAAGTTTCATGATAGTTTTTGCAAAATGCACCGGGAGCTTCGTAAAATGCCGGTGGAGCGAAGCCATTGGCATGCTTTCTCTGTCAAGTCTCTTAAATAATCCTAAATATTGAGATTATTAAAAAAAATAAAAACGTACTAGCCTGGCGAGCACATTTTCGTAGATTTCCACAAACTTCTTGATCGTCATTTTATCGATAAGGTCGAAAGCGCCCTTTACAGCAACATCATAGCCACCCTCAGCGAGGTAACGACAGATATTTGCGTTGTTGTACTAAATCAATCATGTAATGTTTTGAAAACCGCTTTTAAAGCAACAAAACGCGCGCGACGAGGCAACAGAGCACATGGTTACCGCGTAGAACGTACTGACTCGTACTGACTAACCGCAATCTGTAGATCCTGCAGTAAGACTCGCACCAGTGGCATAAACCTCTCATGATCCAAATAATGAGCCGATTTCAGTTGATCAAAAATGCAAAATTGCGAGGGTAGAGGTTCCCTATACATATTTTTTACTTGGAAAAATCAAATATACTTTTCAACGCCTGCCATTTTCTTAGAAAGTTGTTGCACGGTACTCAATCGATCCTTCCCATGCACTGAAGTTTGTTGAGAATTCATTTGAAAACTATACGCGACTTTAGAAACCCTTGCGCCACGTTCAGACGATTTTCCGAATCCACCACATTCAGCCTCTAGCAGTAGCCCAGAGCAGAAATTCTGAAGTTCTGATTGTGAGACGTCAAAGCACAAAACTTGCCGTCTTTCGCCTTTTCGTAGGCTATCTGCTTGTCATCTTGCATTTCTCCCACTTTCGCAATTACTGGCGGCTCCTTCGCATCATGTCCGATCGCTAAAAGCTAATTTTTAAAAAACGATCCGCGCTTTACCGGACTCGAACGAGGCATCAGCTTCGTTGTTTATTCAGCCCAAAATGATAGGTCCACGCAAATAGCCTGAAATTTGAGTTAGTTAAAGATACCCAAATTTAAAACGAGCTTATTGAATTTATTACAAAACGAAAAGGCCTACGTTTTTCCGGTATTTTCTAAATCCTTGCAACGATTTTGATAAAGTGCGGTTTCGGCTATCATTGGGTTTCAACCAATTTGGGATGTGTCTCAATTTCTTCAAATAGCCCGAGCAGATCCTCAGCGTTTTTAATATCACTCTTTCCAAATGGCTGGCAACTGAGGATCTTGTCGAACATTTTCTAAATCAAACTGTCGTGAATCTGCGAAGCTCTGGATTTGTACCGCCAGCGGTTTCCTGCGGTTGCGCCAACTTGCAGCAGCCTAATGCATTTGTGAAATTAAAACGATATAATCTCTAGTTCCCGCACCAATCCAATGAGAAATCGATGGCGCTCCGCAGCGAAATCCTGCAATAAATATTGATATTTGTTTGATGTAAAAGCGATTTTGCATAGGGTTTGCGCCGATTTGGGGGTTGCCTTAGACTAATTTGCCTCGAGCTCTCAAGCAAAATGACTGCCCGTTATTCAGATACAGATCCCGTTACTGAATCCTTTTTTAAATGCGTCATCAAATAGTGCGTTCCGAAATAAAACATGGTTTTTAAAATAGTTACAAATTCGCCGTTTCAAGGGGTTCCGAATCGTGTAGCTTTCATTGTCCGGAGCCGCTCCCTTTCCAGCGTTGGGGGTGGAGTCTCTGTTTTATTGGTAACCCTGTTTCTGATGAGTAGCATGGCCTTATTCCAAATTAATTATGTATTCCTGGTAGGTCCCATGGCCATGGACTAGCTCCGGGTCCAATCCGCAAAACAAAGTGCTCCGGGCGGGGTCGAACCATCCTACGGCATCAGAGTCCGATCTTTCACCTATTGAGCACCGGGCACGCGGAATGCCTCTCTCAGGCGTGGGTGATTCTCTGAATCTCACGACATTTTTGAGGTTGGTCGCCTACAGCAGAAATTAGGAAAAATTCAGAGTTGAGAAAATTACACACTTTTCAATAGGTAACCTCGTCAAGCAGCTTCTCTGACACTTGTTCTGGAGCCAAGCCATAAACTAAAATTCACTTAGAAGTTTAGAACCGCACTTACGCGATTTCACAAAAGCTCTCGCTTCATCGTGACGTTGTTCCAAAACGCGTTGGCGTAGACCGCGTCTGGTTGCCCAGCGGATGTATTATGGAAAAAATTGGTACTGAACGCTTAGCGGGGGGTCAAGGCATCCGAACGCTTTGTAATGAAAGGGCCATAAATTAACAGCAAGTATATTAATAGTGTTTTACAAAAAAAACCTAGATTTCAAAAACATATATTTCTTAAACCATCTAAAAGTTTTGCAAAATAGGAAATTTTGATAAAAATTCGATCAATTTTGCGTCCAAAACCGATATTTTTAACGATTTTTAATAAGAATTTACATAGTTTTTTCGCTTAGGAATGGTTGAAAACCATTTCGAAACATTTCCACTTTTATCTTTCAAACATTAGATCCTAAGAAGAAGGCTCTATGCAGGCCGATACCAAAAATCTTGTGTTCTCTCTCTCTCTGGGCTCGAAAGAGGAAATTTTGGCTCAAAAAAGACCCACTGTCTTTCAGCTCTTCGTACCCATCTTGCTGTAGATAGAGAGCTCGGGGCCGAGGCGCCGGCCCAGAACGGAATGCTGGAACCAAATACAAAAACAGTAAAATTGATTTACCAGATCGAAACAGGTTCTCCACCGAATACACCGTGCCGCCAGATGCATTAATAGGCGGTAGTAGAGACTCGTTGATGGAGGAGACATTGCTACTCAAAGGGTGCTGTCGCTCAAGTGCGTCGAATAGTCCCAGCA